AGTAGCCATTAACTAACAAGCAGCATTAAGGCTTCATGCAGCCACACACCTTGCCAGAGCAATAGAGGTGTAGTGAAGAACGCACACGACACCACATGCTGTCCCTGCACAGGCACAAGGCAGGGCACACCACGTCTGACAGTGTCCTCAAAGCTGTTCAAATTCAGCCAACTCAGTCTTCCAACTTTGGAGAACACAGACTGACAGATGCCCATTGGTGGCAGATCTAGACACTACTGCTTTTGTCCCCCATAGGTCTCTGCAGGTCTGCTGCTGGTGAGTGCACAAGGCAAGCAGTGGCAGCTACAAAAACAAACAAGAGATTCCTATGAGATTTCTACAGATGTTGGTGGGTCACTGCCACGCATCCTGTTTGCAACACAGTGCTCAGAATAGATCAGACAACGGGGAAGCAGAGAACTGACTTTCCTAACCTCAGTTTCTCCTTACTGCAAATTCCTGTATTTTTTTCTTGCCTACATGGAGATGGTCAAAAAAGCAAAGAGGTCTAAGACTTTACTACATGGATATTTCTAGCACTTGAGGTTGCAGATTTTATACTATTTAACATTAACAGTGCTGCCTGCTAGCTATTCCTAGTTGGGAGAAAATACTGTTAGGAAAGCTTAAGTATAATAATTTAAGAACATCGATAGATGTACCTTCCATTGTTGCATATGAAAAGAGAAGGATCCACAGGGTATGCAGCACGGGGAATCTTGCCATCATTTTCACTCTCTGGGCTCAGAACAGTGAGCTGTGCTGAGATTCTGCAACAAGATGACAATAATATAAGCTTACATCAGTCCCAATTAAAGTAAGGGCACAGTTCTTCTCTGCTGCTTTGCTAGATGTTAGGATTCGTATCCCTGCAATGCCCAATCCCCCCAGAAATCTGCTCTGAGAGAAGTGCGGGGGAATAAAGCTAATAAGAATGAGCTAGAAGTGCAGAAAGCGCAAGGAAACCCTGCTGTGGCATAACCTTTTAAAGTAATTAGCTGAGACACTACTTAATGACCTTTTGGAAGCATGCATGTGAATGCCATATACATCTAAGAACGCAGAGCCCAAGGCGTGCTACCAAAGCCACATTCCCTCAAATAACTCATCTCAAAAACTGGGAGGATACTGAAGTGCAGCTGCTTTCTGCTTGCTGTCAGCCTGAATAAACGCAGGGAGGCAATGCCAACAAAACACTGATTTCTTCAACATAACAGTACGAGTACTTTACAGTGAATCACTGCTTTGGTACGCAAGTCAGCCCTGCGATAACCAGCTCATAACCCAACTGGCAGTGCTGATCAGAAGAGGTACTGTGCTTCTATTCCCACAAGTGTAATTGATCACTCTTTAAAACAAGCTTCAGAAGCTTTCATTCTTACAGGTTCAGAGATAAGAACACTGAGTTAAAACAGAACATGAGAATGGAAACTGTTTTGAGATCTTATTGGCAGCAACTACTGCTCATCCAGTAAAACACGACCAGCTTCAAAAGTAAGCTTCCCATAAATGCTCAAGAAAGCTATTACTTAAGAGCAGATCTTTTCACATTTGGGAACAGAAAACGTGGCTGAGTACAGCAATAACATTTTGGAAAAGAATACAGATGGTTTTGCAGCTGCTTGGAAGAAGAAATAAAGAGCAGACAAATGCAGCACAAGACATTGTTCTGCTCTTCCTCCCGTCCTTTTCAGGAGAAGACGTTTGCCTTCCAATCCATTGTCAAGTAATAAGAAACCCTTAAAACTCTGGCAAAGAATCCTGTATCACATAAGCATACACGAATCCACAGATGGCAGCAAAAGAAGTCCTTCCCTTGTAGGAAAAACACTCTGTGTATGTTGATAAAAATGGAACCCTCAGCTTTGATGAAACAGTAACAAAACAGACTATAAAGTCAACACAAAAGGAGAAAATTCAGAAGTGACCTTTCAACACCTGCAAGCTCTTAAGATTTTATGTCAGATAATGACATAAAAAGGTCAACCTTCATAACATATGTAACACATACAGAGAATACCAAGTACACAGCAAACCTATCGATCTCAGTATATATGAGGAAATAAGGTGTAAGAAGTTTAAGTGACTTTCCTAAAAACTATAAAAGATTTGCAGTGGGGCTGGAAGCAGCTTCATCTGTTGGCTTCTGTGCTGGAATCAGCAGATCAAATCATCCCTGTCTACAGAGGGAGAAGGAAAAGAAAAAAAAGAAGGAGAAAAAAAGATGTGATTGAAAAGATTTCATTTAATATCTAGAAAAGCAGTAATTTCAGCTGTAGGCCTTTAAGTAAATTAGGATCATCTTTAATCTACAGGTGTAATTTGCAAAGCTTGTGCTCAAAGGGTGTGCACCCCAAACGACCAATGATAGTCATTTCGACCTAAGGCTGCTCAATTTACTTTTGCTGCTGTTGGACAGAGCCACCCTTTAGTTTTAAATTTATTAAAGCAAAGCCTGTCTTATTCCTCTTGGTTTAATATGCAGGCCATCATTGCTGCCAGCATGAGATCAACAATACAAAGCAACGTTCATCACCTGGTTTTGTATAAAAATGTGAAACAAAAAGAAAATTTGGAACCAAATGATATTTTCTACATGCCAATACAAAGCAGCAGAGCCACAGAAATATAACTCCAAACATCAGCTCTTGGACATGCAATGTGACATCAAATGCAACACGTGGTGAGAAGCACGTGCCCCAGATGTTTGAATTCAGCTGGAGGTTCTGCATTCCAATATATTTTCTTATCATAGAACCACAGAATTGCTCAGATTGGAGAAGACCTTCAAGATCATCAAGTCCAACTGCAACCAATGGGAAAGACAAAACCTTGCAACCCAACCTGCAACCCAGAGCAGGAAGCTGAATGCAGTGGGTCAAACCCCTGCTCAGAGGGAAAGCCCACAGTGGCTGGGCTTAACTCCATAGCTAAGTAACTCAGGAGCTGAGATGGATCTAGGGGAAAGGTGTAATGGAGATGATAGAAGAAAACAAAGAGCAAAACAGTGCATCATTTATCACCTAAAATGAACACAGTGCTTGATCATAATTTGAAAAACTGCAAAATAAAGCACTAAGACAGTTTTAGGGATCTTCCAGCTCAGAGCAGCAGAAGCTGTGGAGAGTGCTGAGTATGGACACCTGAATGGAACGCCAAGTCACAGAGTTGTGGGGTTGGAAGGGACCTCTGGAGACCATCAAGCCCAACCCCTGCTAAAGCAGTTCCTACAGCAGGTCACACATAGACATCCAGGTGGGTCTTGAGCATCTCCAGATCAGAATCCACCACCTCTCTGGGCAACATGCTCCAGTGCTCCGTCACTCCGACAGATGAGAAGTTCTTCCTTGTGTTAGTATGCAAATTCTTGTGTTCCAGTTTGTGCCCATTGCCCTGTGTTCTATTGCTGCACACCACTGAAAGGAGACCACTCCCACTGACTTGATTCCTGGACTTCAGGTGTTCATAAACACTGATGAGATCCCTCGTCAGCCTTTTCTTCCCCAAGCTGAACAGCCCCAGGTCTCCCAGCCCTCCCTCAGTACTGGAGATACCCCAGGCCCTCATCAACCCCCTGGTCCTCTGCCAGCTTGTCTGCAGGAGATCCCTGCCTTTCTTCAAGTGGGAAGCCCAGAACAACTTGGAGCAGAATGCAGTGCTACCCTATAACTTACAGTACAGTAAATCCGATTTTAAGCTCTAGGAAAGGAACTGAGAGAGGCTGTGAAGTTTCTGTCTTTTGGAGATCTCCAAAAGGGACATAGGGCTGGGCACTCTGCTCTGGGCAGCCCTGATGAAGTGGGGTGTACCAGATGAACCCAGAAGTCCTGGCCAACCTCAACCTTCATTCTGTGAGTGAAACCCACCTTTTCCAGCCAGCTTCCTGATCAGCAGCATTGAAAACATCACTTGGCCACTGCGTGGGGGGAGATAACCAACCCGTGTGCCTCCTTGACAAACAGGGAATCCACGCAGGCTGTCGGTGGGAGCTCAGCTCTCGCACATATTTAGTTCCGTGCTGTTTTTTACACACGCGTCACTCAAACTCGCCCACGAAACCGAGCATGGCGGAAACTCATCATGGAACACAGCCAGGGAAACTCCGGCAGGAAAGGAACTGGGGCTCAGCTCCTGGAGCTGCTCACGCTGGTCCATCGATTCTGCTAGCCGGTTTTATGACTATCATAAATTGGCCCTAAGCTCTCTGAATACGCACACACCAGGAATAGCTGTTAAAGAACGAAATCTGCGTTTCAGGAAAAGCTCACTCATCGTTTCCGAGCAGTTTCACGGCGGCAAATTCCCCGAACGCGACACACGTGTCCGGAGAACGCCGCTCAGTGAGCGCTCTGCCGGAACGCCCCGCGGGACAGAACTCCGCGAGCGATTAAGGAACGCCAACAGTGACGCACGACGCGGACCCACAGGGCTCCGAGCGGCTCAAACTCCGCCGTCACGGGCAGAGCCGAGAGCAGAAACGCAGAACCACCGCCCCGGGACGGGTACCGACGGGTACCGGCACGCACCGAACGCCCGCACGGACTCACCACCGCCGCAGCGAGGGGACGGGACCCGACCCGACCCGCCGCCCTACCCGCTCCGCTCGGATCCGCATCCACCTCCCGCGAAGCCACTCCTCCCTCCGCACTCCGCCTCTGCAACTCCCGCACCGGGCGCCGAGCGGCAGCCCCGCACGGACAGCGGGCAGGCGGAGCCGGGCCAAGTTTCACGGGAGGACACCGCGGCGCCGGACCCGAAGCGAACCTCGACACCCCGCCCTTCTTCCGCTGCCGGGTGTGGCCGGACCCCTCCTCTCCGTTCCGCCGGGCTCGCCCACTGCCCCCGCCCCCGTCCAAGCCCCCGCCCCTCGCGCCCGGCACAGCAGCGTCTGCCGCGGCCGCAAGGGGGCGCCATCACAGAGCTCGGCTGCAGGGCGCTGCCGAGCCGAGCCGAGCCGATCGATGGCAGGAGGCCGCGGAGATCGCTGAGCTGATCGCTGGAGCCCGTGCGCTCTTTCAAAAGAGAACGGCCGGGGCTTCCGGCGGGCCTTCACGTCCGCCCTGGAGCCGCACGGAGCGCGGAGCAGCAGCGCGCAGTGCTGTAAGCGCTGGAAGTGAGGGGTGCGGGGGGGCAGCGGGCGGCGGCTCCGACCTCGCTTGGCCTCAGAGCCCCGTGCGGGCGGGGCTTCCCGGTTCGGTCCGTTCGTGGTCCCGCGGTGCGGGGGTTTCTGCTGCTTTGTTCGTCTCCTTGGTCAGGGAATGCCTTGAGACGGCGTTACTTCGGTCTGATGTTCTTCCCAGCAGACGCTGGGGAACTCCCAGCTACAAAACAGTTTTTCAGCGTAGTCGTCACCATTAGCAGTGCGTTTTTTGGCAGCGATGAACGAGAGCTGCGTGCTATGCCTGTAAATCCACACCGTCCTCACTGTTGCCATTGCCTCTGCTGAAACACCCCAGCAGTGCCTCTGTGCCACAGCCTCTGTTTGGTCTCCATCGATGGTCACCAAGTGGCCATGAATGGCAGTGGGCACCGTTTTTTTCTGCACGGAGAAATTCAGCTCCACTTGTTTTGCTTTATCCACCTTTCCACGTCAGATGCCGTTGTGTCAGAGTGCCCCTCTGCTGCTGTCTGTCACACGGCAACAGCATGTCATGGGATGTTGGTGGGAAGGTCAACCTCTGCTGCCATCCTGAGCCACCTCTGCTGTTGTGGGCTGACATGATAGAATAGGAGGCATGACTTTTGGAGCAGCCCTCATACGAAGGATTTTCTGTCCTAAGTGAGATACGCTGTAATTACACAATGTCTTTGGATATGTGGCAGGAGGCAGCTGATGCAGAGCTATGCAAGGTGTTCTACAGATTAAAAGTGGTAAGGAAAATTAGTTGGACTTCTTTTGCATCCTTCCCTTAGAGCACTGCTCACCATCTGTGTTTGGAGAACAAGCTGGGAGATCTGCTTTTTAGCACTAGTAGCCTTAGGAGTTTAATTGAAATACATGTGCTCATCATGTGCACTGTTAATCTGCATGTGCATTAATTGCAGTTGATGTGTTCTGCAGCACTTGAAGCCTGGAGGAACATCGCCATGGCAGCTCAGATGTCCGATGCTCATCGACGGTTCTTGCAGATCCTGATGTCACATGGGATCATGGAGGGAGCAGAGGCCAGGAAATTACACAGGCGCTGCTGTGAAATCAGTAAAGGTGGGTCTTTCTTCTGGAAAGAAATGTGGGGAGATGGGGGAACTCTTCTTTTTTTCATCGTGCAACTTGTAAATCATTGCGTTTCTGAAAAGTGTATGCTAGCTAAAAAAAGCTTCAAAACAATCCAAAAAACTTCAGTGGTGTGAGTTTTCTCTTTTTCCTAAGAGTTAACAAACAGAGCAAAACAAAACCTAACGACAACACTTTTTTTCTCTGGTTATGTATTTAAAAGAAATTGACAGTGATACTCAGTTAATGGAGAGCACAGTACTCTGTGCAAAATAAGCAAGCTTAGTAGCTGGGTTTCAATAAAGCACATTTGAATAAATGATTTCTGATCCAGTCAGTTGGTACAGCTTCTTGAACAAGAACTGTTTTGTAGGTGAAAGCTGTGCATTCTTGCAAATATTGAAAGGCATTCTGAGTCTGGGATTGTAAATAGATTTTTAACAGATCATTTTTGATCTACTGGAACAGCCATTCATCTCAAAGTGTTACAAGAGTATTGGTCTGTTATCTTTTGCCTTACCCTTTTCTAGAGCTGTCATTAATTCTCACTGATCTTGATTAATGCAGTGTTTCTTGCTGGGAGGTGCCAGGCAAGACGATTTGTCACAATTTTATGTATTTCAATATTAATCTATTATTGCTGTTTAATTGTCCATTTATGGAGTCTTATTATAAATAAGACTAAAGAGCTTTCTGGACAGGAATGTCCTGAGTGATGTTTTTGCATTGTAACATACCATACAGTACAGCGGGGCTTTGAGTTTGGGGCCTCTGTCTGATGCCATTACACTGGAATTGACTTTTATAGATGCAAACAGTATAACTGGTAGCAGTTTTGAGATGTCAGTCTTTCTGAAGTTATGAGCTGTTATTGAATGCTCAAAGTCAACAGGAATTTTGGCACTGTCATTTTGTTTTGGATGGAAACTTTGGAGAATGTCTGCTATTGCTGTGCAAGCATAAGCCACAGCACATGCTTCTGCACTGTGCATCTGAATTATGTGTTTGATAAAACAACTCATACTGTTTCATTTGCTTATGGAGTAGGACACAAGATATTAACAGTGTAACTACAAAGCTACAGTGTTATCAAAGAAACAAGGAATTTGTTGTTGGTAAGTTAAAGAAATTAATTGTATTGTGTAATTGCACTTAATGGCCTGTTTGAATTCTGCCTCAGAAATTGCTAGCAATTTCACCTAGTTTAAGCAGATTAAACATAAAAAGGTGTTGTTTTTTTTCCTTCCCTCAGTGTTTTTTTTCTTATTTTCAGTCTACTGTGCACAAGATAAACTGGATGATTTCGTCAGTACCATCAACAACCAGCTACAGCCTTTGTTCATGCAGATCCGGAAAGGAATGTCTGAAGTTGATGGGAGAACGCATTATGCCTTGGTAAGTACGAGGTGCTGCCATCTCGTGGTTGCAGCTTCTCGTAACGAGTGCACGCGTGGACACACCGCAGAGATTCTGCCACGTGTCTGATGTAACAGCAGCCATTCAGTCATGTGTTGATAAAAGCGCAATAAAAGGTGAGTAAACCGGGCAAAGAACTGGAGCTACGTTTTATCTTTGGGCGTTAGTAAAGCTGATTTATCTAGGGTCCTTCCTTACAGTGTAATGCAACTGCTACATGACAGCATGCCAGCATGAGCTGTGCCCTCAGCATGTCTGGACTTTTTGTAGGGCTCTTCCACTGCCGTGCTGACAATTGCTGTGGAAACTCCTTGTAGAGCAGGGAACTGGGAAGATTAACTGCCAAAAGTGTGGGAAGGGAACATGGCAGCAAAGCCCATAACAGCACCTGATTTATTTAGCAGGAACAGCCTCTGTCATGGCACTTAAAGCAGTGACATTTCTTTTAATTTTAAGATGATGTATTCCTAACCCCAGATAATCTTTCACTTTTTCTTTGGTAGGTGAACATGGCAGAAACTGAAATTACTAAGATGGCATCTGACTATGCAGAAAATGAACTAGAATTGTTCAGAAAAACAGTAAGTATGACTGATATTAGTTAGTAAATAACGTCGTTTGTGAAGGTACTCTTAAAATGAATGGAAATCTGAGATGTGTTTCAAGAATTAGTTGCCATCTTGCACAACTTCATTGAATTTTATCCTAAGTGAAATGGGGCAGGGAGGGAAATGGGAATATAACAAGTAATGGTTCTCCTCTTGAAGGGAATTAGCTTTTTAAAATTTTGCATCCTAATTTTTTTTTTAATAAACGAGAAAGAGAGGTTATTTACTGTGCTGGGACAGCTGCTGAAGTGTCATCCAAACTGATACTATTCAGAATCCACTCTGCCAGTATTGATGTAGCACCTATACAGCTATGTTTGTGCTGCAGAGATGGTGTTGTCATGGCACATATTACTACTAGCACATCAGCTCTGCTTTCTGCTCTGTGATGATGTGCAGCAGAACGTTCCCAAGGAGAGAATCTCTGAAAATTGGCAATGTATGCTTATGTTCAGATGCTGAAAAAGCTGTACATTACTATAAGGTGCATCTATCTAATTGCACAGTCTTTGTAGTAACTGAAAGTATTTCTTTCTATAGATGGACCTAATCATTTTATCAGAAAATGGCTTTGCCTCTTCTACGGATATTTTAAACTGCGCTGACCAACTGAAGACAAAGAAAATGAAGAAAAAGGAAGCAGAACAAGTGCTGAAAATTTTTGTGGATGATAAGTGGCTCTCTGAGGTAACTGCTTTATCTTTGCAAGTGTCTGTGCTTTAACAGGTCCAGATGTTGTTTTCTTATGGATGTGGTGGCAGAAGCTGGAGATGTTCATAAATAGGTGAGGGCAGAAATGGTTCTGTGGGGGCTATGGTTATTGTTCCAGTCAGTGATTCTTACAGAAGAGCTGGTCCATTTACAAGCAAAAAGTCCTTGGGTAGATGCATGCATGACAACGTGGTTTCTGTTTCTTCTATCTAAGCTAATGTGTGCATCTCTATTACAACACAAAAGGCATTCTTTGTACAAAACAGCATGGCACATTTAAAGCTTGCAGCAAAAGCTGGGGAAGGCTCTTCAAGGGTGATCTGTGCCCTCAGTTACATTTCAAATTGCCTCAAAAGCAGTAAAAAATAAAGTGTTAAAAACTCCTGAAGTGGAAACACACAGGCTGCTCTGCATGTTTTGGAAAAAATGGAGAAATTGAGATTAGTTTTTACCATGTGGAATACAGCAATTGTTTACCAAGACAACTGAGACCTGAGTCTCTTTTCTCCCGGCTGTCACCACATCATAGATTTCCATCCTGCTGCCACCCATTTCCTTATATGAGAGAGATTTAGCAGGGATTTTCAAAGATTCCTGCTGCTCAGATTTTGCAGAAAACTGGAAGTTCCACTGATGTGCAAATGAAGAGTCTGCTAACGATATGCCTCTAAGGAGAGCATACTTGCTCATCTGTACCTTTCAGGGACTGTATTTGTTAGAAGCGTGGCTATTGTTATGATCCTCCTCTGCCTCTTCAAAAACATTTTGGCTGTGTTTTATCAGTGTAAGAATGCTTGTTTCATGATGGCAGAAAAAAAAACTCTTTAATGTCAAGTACTTGCTAGTACAAGGTGGTGAGAGAGGTCCAAAATGAAGAAAGGAACTAAGGGATATTGCTAATCTCAGTTGTTGTTTTCATAGAGAGATGGGGAATATACTCTGCATACTCGCTGCATAATCGAGATGGAACAGTACATTCTCAGCACCTATCCAGATATAGCAAAGAAGTGTAATATCTGTCACAGCCTTGCCATCCAGGTAATGCATCTGATTACCTCAGTATCTGCAAGTGGATTCCTGTCACAGTGGAAGTTTGAGACACTTTCACTTGAGTATTAGGCAGGCAGTGAAAATTCCAGTGTTGCAATCTGGTAATATTACTCATATTTATAATATAATACAATGCAGATTAACTGTAATCTTCCATATGACACATATTCATCTTTGGTTGTGGGATTTTGGTTCAGGAATTGACCGCCATGGACTTAAGAATGAATTTATTGATACACACTTTACTAAAGCACTGTGTGTTGATAGCTGGCAAGTTTCTAATTTGGTCTTGCACAAGAGATTACAACCTGAACTCCTGTTCTAGAACTTTTACATTCTCTTGCTCCTTGCCCTTGAATTTTCTCTTCATCTTCCCACCTAGCTTCCTTCCCTAACATTACTTTTTCCTAATTGCTCTCCTTTACTGCAGCCAAGCAGCTCAGCATTTGTCTTTCAAACTAAATTACGTCCACATAGGTAAATGGCATTTCCTAGCTTCCAGGAGAATAATTCCTATTATGTTTTACCAGCCTTGATTTCTGAGTGTCCTTCAACTGTATCTTTTGAACTACTGTTAGGTATAAATTATCGTTTATTTGTAGCCTTTTGTGACAGAGGGGCAAATCAGAAAGCTTTTCTAGTAACACTTCTGATTTCAGAGCCAAGCGTGTGAAACGTGTGGAACTGGGATGCATTTACCTTGCATTGGAAAGTACTTCAAAACTCAGTCTAAACCACGGTGTCCTCAGTGTAATGATTTCTGGCCTTATGAGATCCCAGGTACCAAGTAACATCTTTTTTAAAAGTGTAATATTTAAGGATGGACTGTGATATTCAATGGCTCTGCCTGAAATGACTTATAATTGTAGCCAAACATTGGATATTTGTGACTTCAGTTGTGTGTTTCTAAGTGAACCATACTCAGGGAACACTGAGCCCTGCAACTGCACAGGCTGTCCTGTGGTCATTAGCAGATGCTGTGCATACTGTTCATAACAGCACTAATGGTTTGGGGGATGAGCAGGAGCACTAAAACTTTTGGAAATACTGAGTTTCAAAGAAAAGCACAAACTCGTTCTAGAATTCCTCAGTTTAACCAGATAAATTGGACATTCTGAGCAGGAACACAGGAACATGTAAAGAACTGTAAAAACCTGGAAGTCATACCATATCATCCTTTCTTTTTGTGTGTCATTAACTTTGCTTTTTTCCTTTCTCTGTAGACAGGAGTCGGATAGATTCCCAGTCATCATCAAAAAGAGGGAGCAGAAGAGAGCTTCAGTCTTTGTAGCTTCAGCTGAAGTTAGCAAAACTTGCTTTTAGTGATTTTTGTTTTCCCATTCTCTGGCAGAATAGCCAGACTGCACTGTATTCAGAAGTGACAGTGCACTGTTAAATGTATTTATTTTTTCTAGAGTTTTAAGAAACTTACAATAAAACTGTCTTTGACCTTCCTGTTTTTCTACACAGTTATGCCCAGACAACTTCCTAGGAGGTGGGTTTGTGTATGCAGTTCTCTGTATTTTGGGCTGGCAGTATCAGTGCACGTTTGTGAACAAAAGATAAATGTTTTTGCTCAGTCCTGAACGCTGATTTATGCAAATTAATTATTGTACAAAGCCTTTCTCAGCCGCTGCACTCCATATTTGTATGGTTTCAGTTGCAAAACTGAGAATGAGACCTGTTATTAGAACCACAGGGCTTGTAAATATTCCTCAACCAGTTCACCTATGTAACATTTTACATGGTTTTCAAGTAGCTGATCACACAGCACTTCAAGGTCTCTGCTGAATCCCTGATCAAGGCCTGGCTGGAGTCTGAACTTCAGGCTTGTACCACTGCTCGTTTTTTGTCTCTTCCTTTGACAGCAGAGTTCGTGTCATATGGTGAGGCCACAGGCAGATATGTTCAAGAAAAGATGGAACTTTTCCACAATCAAAACCAGTTACAAATCTAAAGATGATTTTTTTTCCCCACTGGTTTTTAGAACTAGTACTTCACACTGTTGTTTTCTGTAAAGATGCCTTATCCTTGTAAAAGTGACTTGAAAATGAAACAAGGACTAAATGTTGCTAGATACTAGTGTGGAGTGGCATTGTATCTTTTCCTTGGCAGACAGCAGAGTCTGCAGTTCAGCTGACTCTTGATCAAAACATAATTAAGCTTTCGATTATTTAATTGCAGTTAACTATTAATTAACTTAGTTTCATAGTCCTTACACTCAACTTTTTCCACATAGGAGACTGTTTTTTTTGTTGTTTATTTTTCCCTCCAGACTGTTGAACCTTATGGCGACCCAACAGATGTTCTTTAGAAGAAGGTTATATTAGAAACATCCACAAAAATAAAGTGGTAGCATTTATCCACATTCTTTTACCAAGCTGAAACAAGGAATTTTTATTTATAGGGAGAAAAAACAGTCTCATGTTTAAATAGAATTCTCTTCTGAAGCATACCAGATGCTACTTTTCAGGATCTTTAATCGCTATTACAATACTAATAAACGTTATTCTTGCTTAAGTGCTATGACCACCAGAAACTGACAGAGAAGCTAATATCAAGAGATCGTACATAGTGCCAGTATTTAACTGGGATAAACAGAACCTGTCCAGGCATCAGAATACAGGACTGAAATGCAGCCTTTCTGAAGTTGGGAAATTTTGTTAAGTCAGGATCTTCTACATCGACCTGCTTAAAAACAGAAACAAAGTGTTTACTTCAATGCGATTAGATGAACTAACATTACTGAACTAACATTCCAGATGATTTTTTACCTGACTGGTGTTGTGAAGAAGTTGACTCTCATGTGGGTACAGATTTTCTGAATCTTGTGGTGAATAAAGACGGATATATTTTCTTCCTAATACCTGTATATATTACAATAAATACTTTTAATTTATATTCCAATAACCTCTGTGTTATTGAAAAATGATCAGTTAATTAGCAACCAGTCTATTATACCATACTGTGGGCCACAGTTAGAATATCAGCAGTAAAACAGACCTGCTTACTTACAGGTGGCTGCAGTACTGCAGGTGTGGCCTCATGAAGGCAGAGCAGAAGGGGACAGTCACCTCCCTTGTCTTGCTGGTCACCTCTTTTCTGATGCAGCCCAGCTTACAGTTGACCTTCCAGGCTGCAAGTGCACACTGCTGGCTCATGTTGAGCCTTGCATCCACCTGGATGCATACTTGAGGTGCATGTAGTCCACCTCCCCTGCTAAAGCACATTCCCTAGAATAGGTTGCACAGTGTCCAGATGGGTTCTGGGTTTGGGCAGTTTGTTCCAGGGCCCTGTCACCCTCGCAGTACTGAAGATTTCTGTTGTGCTCATCTAGAACTTCCTGCATCCTGGTTTGCCTGTTGTAGGGTACCACCAAAACCTGGCCCCATCCTCCTGACACCCTTTAGATATTTCTAAGTGTTGATAAGATTCCCTCCCAGTCTTCTCTAGGCTGAAGTGTCCAAGGTCACATTCTCCATCCCTCAGTTATATCTCAGTTTGCCTACCATCCTTGTCTGTCATACACATTATAAGCATTCTTTTCTAGCTATAGCATTAAAGGCTTGTGTAGAGTAAGTAGAGTACAGACCTGGGCTAAAAAATTTTGCTGGGGATCTTGATGAAGAGGTGAGATAGTGCCTGCTGGCCCAAACCATGCGTTAATGGTGATGTCATCTTCTTCCCCTTCCCCCAGGCAGCAGTAGTCAGGAATACTGATATCCTCTTTCAATTCTGGGATCTACTCCATAAAGAAATGAACATTAGAAAGGGTATCTACTGACTTGCAAAAAGTGTAGTTTGTAGAAGAGAGTAACAGGGCCTGACACAAAAAACAAATGGCCTTGTCCAGCTCTGGCAGCTGAAAAGTAGCTGGGTTGCTGGGAATCTGTAGGAAATATCCTCACACTTTCTGTTCTAGTGGATTCTGTTGGAAGGAGGTGGGAGAAATAAAGGAAATTCAGAGACTCTGCTCTAGAAGAAACCAGGGAAACTCGGGGAATAAGAAAACTACAAGAATATGTAGTTTGCTGTTCAAGGAGAAGGTAGCAGTTATCTTCTATACACTCAGCTTGCTTTTTATGTGATTCTTTTCCACATTTCCCTCCAATCATAGAATCATTAAGGTTGTAAAAGACCACTAATATCTCCTTGTGCTACTGTCAATCCATCAGCACCATGCCCACTAAACTATGTCCCTAAGACCTGATTTCCTCTGGTTACCTGAAATGACATTGCAGAACATGGAGAACAGATCAACACTGAAGTTTGTTTCCTATTCAAAGCTCTTCCCTGACTAATGTATAATTTGGAGAAATGCTGCTTTCCAGGTGGTATCCCTGTAAGCAAATGCTACTTTGTACCAAAACAGCCCTAAAACTGAACATCCTCACCCCCCCAAAGGCTGTTTCCCACTCCTTTCAGCCAAGCAGAAAAACAGAATCACCCTACATCCTTCCATCACACAGAAATGACATTCTCAGAGATTTGTCATACAAAGGCACTTGACTAAAGAAAGAAATACTCATGCAGTTTTACCTGATCAAAAAGCTGGTGCTGGGCAAGGTATCCTACGCTGTTCTGACATTAAAACATAGGAGGAAAAAAAAAAAAAGCACAGTGACATATGGGGTAAGACTTGGTCATTTACATACAGTTAAGTAGAGTTTACTTGTAGGCAAGATCCATTTACAGTCTACAATTGCTTCAGTAGTTGACTAGTATAAAGAGTCTTCTGAACAATATTTATTTCTATACTGAAATTCTGAAAGTGTGGATAGATCCCCACAATTAACAAATCATCTAACTTAAGATACTGGTAGAAACATAGCAATAATGATACGGAGTCGCACCAGTTCTTCAGTTGTCAGTTCTACGACAATACTCTGCAGAGCTGCAGCTAGGCCCTGCTGGGACGCAGACTTGTTCACCTCTGCTCCCCACAGTCACCTTGATATTCCATTCCTGGCTATACCATAGACAAATTTGTAATGGCACACGGTCCCTCCTGCTAGAAGACTTAAACAGAAATAAAGTTCCAGATCCTCAGCTGTGAAAGTAAACAGCTATTTGACAGCCAGTCACCTTCTAATTTTTTGTTGGTACACATGAATTTGGGTCCTGCCAATAGATCTCACTGAGCAGTTTAATAACTGTGTGGAACAATGCTGCTGATTGAGGAGGAAAATTAATTCCCTTATCTTTGAACTTCACCATTCAGGCTTTTGGTGCAGAAATTCCTCTATTCCTCAAATTTCAGCTGTTGTCCATTTGATTGCACATGAAAATACAGTCTAGCTGTTGCTAGATTCTGTATCAGTAGATGCTGTTTTTGGAAATGAAAAAAAAGAAAGTAACAGACCTCATTCACAATATACTGGCTGATGAAATCACTGACGGTCATGAGCTTCTGAGACCATTCCTCATCTGTGTACCGGGAACCCAATTCTACAGGGACTGTGCGGCACCCAGCGACCTGGCAAACATAGTCCACGCTGAAACAAAAGGAGTTCCATCACACTTCTGTTAATTCTCGTCTTAGTAATTCTGAATGAGAGTAGGACAACCAACCAAGACCAATCTCTGAGAGTAATAAAACTCTATTAAAGTGAGTTCCTTTCCTCTAAAACCAACCAAGCAGCAGCAAAAGTCTGCAGAAACTGACCTAACCAGCAAGAAAACAAGTGGTCAGTTTTGTATGTAAATCATGCTACATCTGCCTTGCTTTGCTTTAAAACCTTGTTTTTCTCTATTAATTATCATTTCCTTACCAGCAAAGATGATTTAGGCTGTTAGCCTCTCCTGACTACTGACAGCCGAACTTTTTTCTGCTTGCTACCAAGTTTGCTAAATAACATGCTGTAACTTTTTCTTTTTTTTTTTTACCATTAATGCTAGGCTAGCTGTCAGTGCCAAATTTTAGGTGCTAATAACATCCACTCTGGCAAAAATCAGAAGAGTTCCTCTGAAGAGTAATCCATATCTCTTCATTTACTGTGATTAGTAGCTATGTTAAAAAGTTCTTCATTGTAAGTGTCTGAAGAATGGAGTGCCTTGGCTGCAAAAAAAGACCAAGACATTTCTGAAATAATAAGGCTATATAATGCACGTATAAATATATAACTAAAGTTATATTTTATTACATATTTTCTATGTACCATCTATGTACCATCATATAACAAAAATCAACTAATGTAGACATTTATCATTCACTGTGGAATGCAAGAATGTAAGCAATTTCTCAAACTATACCTGAGTGTTTTGTACCCTTCGGAGAGGGATCATAAGCTTTATCATAAATATTTCATTCTCAGGACTGGAAATGCTGGCACCATTGCCTACATCAAACCAGCACCACAATATTGTTATTGCTCCTGGATGTGGTTGTTTGAAACTCAATGTTCAAAAATTGCTACTCGGCAAAGATCATACCTGTGAATCAAAAAGCCAGTTATGCTTATTCATACTCACTCTGAAATTGAAGAGCAAGTTCTGAGATGTAAAAATCACTGAGAAGTGAGCGTCTGATGGAGGCCAACCCACTCGAAATGTAAGTCTGCTGGTACAGCTGGCAATTCATACTTGCCTTTGGCTTCCAGTAAAACAAAGGCAGTACACCAGCACTGCATCATCCCCTGCACGGACGGGCTGGACACAGCAGTCAGGATCTGACTGCCCTGGCACAGGGCAGCCCCTCTAGCATGAAGTTCTTAAGAGGTTTGTGCCATCTGATTTCCAGCATCGACGAGGAAACGTTCAAAGAGCCGAGAAAGAGGCTCTCAATGCACATCGCTCCGGACAGCACCCATCTATGGAGGTGTGCGCTGCATTATGAACACTGCAGTACCCGACACAAAACCGATCCTGGCCCTCATCAGGACGCGGAACAAGCTTATTCTCACCTCCACTTCTTCATGCACGGCCAGTGGTCAATAATTCCCTCTAAGACGACGGGCTTCTGCGGAATCAGATACTGGTCTCGGAAGCGCTCCAGCGAGGGGCAGCGCTCGTGCGGCACCGCATCCTCGGGCCGTACAGCCGGCGCCGGGGGGGGCTCAGTCCGCGCCCTCTGTAACAGAACGCCGCCGCGGAAACGCCGTCAGCCCCTCACGGCCACCGAGGAGCCCAGCGGGACGCCGGGCCGAGAGGAAGGCGGAGCACGGGCGGTACCTTGGCGCCGCCCGGGGCCGCGCTGCGCCGCTCGGCGCGGGGCAGGTGCGCCTGCAGGAGGCGGACGAGGCGGGCGAGGACGTCGTCCTGCACGGAGGCGCCCATCAGCAGCCCCATGTCGCACAGCCGGACGGCGGGCGCCAGCGGGCGGCGGGCGGCGACTTCGGCCAGTGCCCCGAAGAGGCAGCCGTAGGCGTAGACCTGCCGCCAGGCCTTGCCGACGTCCCGCCACGGCCCCGCGTTCAGCTTCTCCCACGCGTAGTCGCGGACGACGTCGCCCAGCCGCCGCAACGCCGCCTCGCACGGTGGAGCCGCCCCGTAAAGCAGCGCGCGGGCTCGGAGCAGCAGCGGCGGGACGCAGTCGTCCACCTCTCCGCTCAGCGCCAGGCTCAGCTCCTCCTCGGAGTCGGGCAGCAGCGCCCGCACCTCCTCCCACAGCCCCGCAGAGCCCGCCATGGCACCGCAGCGCTGCTGGGCATGCGCGGGAGAGGCGGGGCGGGGCGGGGCGGGGCTCAGCTCCTCCGGGCTCTGAGGGCGGGAAGGAGCCGGGCTGCAGCGGGGTGCTGGGAGCGGCTGTGCGTTGTGAGCAGTCTGCCTCCAGAGGAGGAACGGGGCGTTAGGGCGCGATGGCTTTGCCAGCTTTCCTGCTGCAATTGAGGGTAGACCAGTTTTAACGGAGTGCTTTTATGGAGTGTTTTCGTAAAGAAGATGATGTTCCAAGGTAAAACTATGGAAGTTGCATTTAAGCATATGGCATTTTGTGATACTTTTATGACCGTCTCGGTATTATATAAATCCTGTATCTTAAGTGGTATTAATTCTGTGTACTTCTCATTAAGGTCACAACATAGCTTGCTATGAGGCTGGTATGATTGACACATGCAATTTTTGGTTTGCCTGGGCCTCACTGAGTGAAGAGGATTTGTCACAGGCCGTGTGTGCAGAGGCCATACAGAAAGTAGTGCCTCCTATCTGCCTCCATGGAAATGACAACAAACACAGAGCCCAATGACACTGATAGTGCAGATTCTCAGCTATAAAACACTTCAACACAGTCACCACCACCAGCTGTGCATTTTTTGCCAGTGATGAACAACAGCTGCATGCCATGCTTGTAAATCCATACCAGCAGAGATGCCCCACTGTTGCCATCACCTCTGCTGAGGAGGGTGCAAGGGTGGAATTAATCTTTAGAAAGTATGGATGGAGGTCATCTATTAAAATAAACATTATATGATAGGCCTAGAATTTCTGTTACAAAAGCTAATAGATTTTCATCTGGAATTTAAAGTCGATTTTATTAGTTTGTCCACTAGTTAGTCCATTGGTCCATCAGTTTGTGTGTTTTAAGGTAAATAGATCATTTCTGCTTCCAGGACTGTTGGCTGGTACCTCCCATGAGAATTACTTTCATTTAACATCTTCTGCATGGCAACAAACAAACAAGTAAATAGAGAGAAAATAAAATGAGAGTGTAATGTGCCCTGTGGTCCTCTGGTGAGAGTGTAAACTGATGATTGCCATGACAGCATTACTGTGGCTGACTTTGATTTTCCACTACAGACAACGAATGGTTGTCTGTCTGTCTGAAGAACAAAGGGATAAGCACATAAGTCTTTTAAGATTTTGAAAGTCTTCCCAGCTGTCTCTGCCTGCTCCCGTGGACAGGAGATGATTAATATTGACTAATAATACATCCAGAATTAATCATTACAGGAGAAATTGTTTTGCTCAAATAAGCAAACTCTTCCTACTAGAGAGTGACAGACCCATGCGTTTTGATTGTATCTTTGAGTTGAGCGCTGCTGTAAAGCAAAAGTGTAATGATGGATATGTCTTTATCAACCTGTTCCCTGCACTGTGTTTTTATCGCTGCCATCTGCTCTGCTGAGAGTGGCAGCTGCCAGGTCTCACAAATAGCACTGCCATGTACTTTCGTGTAGAACAACATATTGTTGTAATTTCTGTGATATTATGAGATGGAATAACTTTCCATGAGTTAAGGTGACATTTTGCTTGGCTCTTCGGGATGCATATTGCTGCAGTGTGTGTAGGACACACAGTGTTCTTTCTGGAGCAGGCTATAAAAGCACACCCAGTTCCACTTTCAGAAATCATTGGAAAAGGCTTTTTTTTTTTCAAAAATGTTATGAAACACCCATCTGGGACATAGGTGTCGATGCTAAGATGCAAATGAGACATATTCACTATTAGTATAGCTTACTGTATGTAGCCTTAGTTACCTTTGCAGGATGGAACTTTTGTAAATCACACTGTTTTGAAAATACAGTTATTTCCCTCCTTGCTTATATTGGTTTGAATCTCCTTTACATTTGCAAGCACGTTCCGACAGCTTCTTCAACATTAAAAGGAACAAAAAATCTTTATGGCAGTAAGTACTCCTTCTGCTGTTACAGCTGAACCCGAGGTGGGGATTTAATTCGATTTCATGAGGTGTCCAGTGCCAGCTGCTCCTCTGGGCTCTTGAGAGATTGGAAAGAGATGTCTTCAGCATGGGCTTTTTCATAAGCTGAAAGGTATATCAGATCCTGAGATAGGATAGTTATGGTGGACAAGCAAGTGGAATACATCATTCTCTGTCGGTGTCTGTTTCTCTCCTCAGGCTATAAGAGGAAGTTAAAAGACTAACTTAGATGACCTCCTTGCTTTTCAGGCAGACAAATGTAGGTGAGGTGAATCACATACTGAATACATGCCAAGGCATCCTCTGTGCATCTGTTTGTGCATTAAGAGTTGCAAAATATTTGGTATAGTCCATCTGCACGGAGATGCATCTGCTCCTTTTTCTTAAAAGTAAAGAGATACGTCCTCTTTTACATACTTAACTCATTTTTTTGGACAAAGATGACCAGAAAACCAGGCCAGAGAAAAGCCTCGTGGCATTTAAGTGAGGCTGTATACTCTAGAAATACTGGAAAGGTTGTATTTTGCTCCAGTAGAGCATTCCAATAGCTGGTAATGGCTCCTGGCATCATCCTGATTTTGAGCTTATATTGGACCACCTTTTTATTCTAAGAGTAAGGAAGTCCTCTTTATAAACTACTCTTTATATTATGCATGTGTACCTTGAGAAGAAGAATATGTAAGTAAACAGTTTTTCCTTTCTCACAAGATTTACAGCACCCATTGGAAACTTCTGTTTGATTTATTCCTCAGAATGGGGCTATAAATGCTGCATGAATTTGTTTTTGTACTTGTTTTAAGTATATTTAGAAGTGTACACAGTTATTTGAGCTCATACATCATATTCTTATTAATGAGCACAGTATAATTATCGGTCGTATTGACTTTTGTTTCCGTGGATGTTTTAAAAAGATATTTAAAAGGCTATGCTGGAGTTTGCATCTGCTTCAGAAATTAAATTTAGTCTGTGATTTTATTACCCTTTTTATTTAATTTATCTTAACTGTTGCTTTCAAGCTGTGAACCAGCTGTTGACTTTGAAAAAAAAAAACATTGTTCAATTTGAAAGGAACATTTTAAAGCTTAATGTAATGGCTGTAAGTAATCACTACAGCAATTATATTCTATGGTGTTGTGCGTCACTATAATAATACTGGAGGTTGTAAGAAAATGCAGGAGAGAAACACATCAAGCTCAGACATTTCAGTGTTGCCTGTGATGCCTGCTGCCTCTCTGCTTTGTGTATAGGTTTGGTGCCACTTGGCTTGAATCACAGCAGAAAAACTGAAGCTCCACTCTGTCGTGGTGCTGTGTGTGCCCAGCAGGAAACAGGAGGCTTTTTCTTAGCCTTGTTCTCTGTCATTATTTTCCAACTGGAAGTATTTTTTTCTTTCCCCATGCTGGCAGACTGTAGATAGATGCTTGCTGCAATGGCAGGAATGTCTGCTGCTCTGCTGCCTCCTCCTGAAAAGATCCAAGATGTTGTATGTGACGCTGAGAGGAATTTGGGTTTCGTCTCTTCCGGAGTGATGCTGTACCCACCTTGCATGGTGCGAGTGGTAGCAGAGCTCCTCGTGAAGCATACAGGTCTGACCAGAGCTGGAGTACTTGGCATCTTGCAAAGTCAGATCACGCTGCTATTTGCTCTGAAAATGAGCAGCTACTTGCCAAGGTGAGGAGAAATAATAGAAAAAGTTACAGTTGTGTTTTCACCCATGGAATGGAAAGAGATACCTTCCATTTGTGAGCTCGCTGGTTTAAGCCAGCTGGGCCTGTTGGGTGGGAAACTTTCTGGTCCACTGCAGAGAAGATAACAGAAGCAGCATGCAGTCAGTATCCCTTTGTGTTGTAACAAACCATGAAAGTGCTGTTCAAATTCCTCTGCCCTGGAAATTCTCCCCGTGGTGATTTAAAAGGAAATGTAATATGCATCATCGTTGGAGTGGGCTGCATTTCTCAGCGAGTGACCTCACTTTGTTTTCCACACAGCTTTTGTTTGGAAACTGCAGGCTGTGGTGATGCTCTAAAAAAGTGGTCTCCCAGATTGCACAATGGAGCAGTGCCTTGCCCTTCCTCTGCTTTTGGCACTGTGTTTGACATGCAAATTCGAATCACCTGCTGGGCTAAACCATCAGTTCCAGATAACAGCTTTGTGAAGTAATAGTGCAGCAGGGGAAGGCCCAGTAGGAAGGCTTTGGCTGAGCAATGCACTAAACCTTGCTGAATTCACTTTGTAGCGAGATCCTAAGGCAGAGGGATCTTTTGACAGCAAGATCTGAGTCAGTGCAATAACAGTAACAAGTGTGCAGGGAGCTGCAGGCTTGGAACCTGGGACAAAGTGGGAGACCAGGCACACTACTGAGGCATGATCACTGGTGATAACAGTGCTTGGTTGCTGAGGAAGGACAGATGACACATTTGGCAGTTGTTTTTGTGATGGTACTTGCAATGGATGGTAGTCATGGTGATGCGATTGGGACGATCCTCCAAGAGCTAGTCCTGATTTGGTATTGGTAACACTTGGCCAGAACGACCTGTGCTTTACCTTAGAAAAAAGCAAGATTCCCACATGAGTGTAAGCATAGGCATAAGCATACCCACGTGTATCTGCATGTGTGTAGAACATATCTGCATGACATCAGCAGCAAAACGAACTGTGAAGTAGTTTCCCATTCCTCTGTCTATGTGTGGTGCATAAGAAAACGAAAGCACTGATAGAGACCCAAGGACTCTTTAGAGATGAGTGCTTTCCCAGCAAGTGATGATCATGGATTTGGCTAAAAAAGAAAGGGACAGAATTCTGATTGTTGTGACAAGGCCAATATGCCTCATGATTCACATTGTATTATTTAATATTAAAACATAATTATATATTAATTATAATTAATTAGTAATTATATGTATTATATTATATATTATATATTATATATTATATATTATATATTATATATTATGTATTATATATTATATATTATATATTATACTATATATATTATATATAGTATATAGTATAATATATACTATATTATACTATATTAAATATTACGAATGTATAAACTAA